ATGTAGGAGGATATATAAGACCAAGGTAGTACAAGAAGATGGTGAATGTGATCCCACCACAGATTCTTGCCGAAATTTCTCCCAGGAAATGAGACAACCTGCAATCCTGGCTTAGCCTCTCTCAGCTAGAGCCATCACATCTCACAAGTAGATCTGAGTAATTATTCTAGTTCAAAGCAAGATCTCCTGCTTGGAAACAGCTCTCATTCCTCTTGCTGCTGAGAGTATTGCAGCTAATGACCATCAGCCAATTCCCTTTCTAGAAATCATTGCAGTGCATACAGTGTTTGTTCTTTCAAAGGTCCTATGTCCTAGTGGGAAAAGAATTAATTGAGCAACTATGTTGGCTTTGAAGATGTTACCCAGTACATTTGATATATCAGCACATCTCTTAGTTTCTTATTTATGTCATCTACCTATGAAAAATACTTTTAGTCAGTGTTCAGTAATGTGTAAAATATAAATTAATGAGTACATGAATATATAGTATATGCCAAATATATATTAATATATGCTTGTGACATATGTGTAACACTTAAATGATATGTATATACATAAAATATATTTAAAATGTATATTTAAAATGTACGTGTGTGTGTGTGTGTGTGTGTGTGTGTATTTGCAATCTACTTGTGACATTTGATTTGCCTTTAATAAATCTTATTCAGGATTGCTGATTTTAACTTTAAAGAGAAAAAAAATCATGGATGATTCTGACAGAAACTGTGCCAATAGAATGTTTAGAAGCTATTATCACAAGAGTAGATTCCCAGGTTAGTGACCCAGTACCGAAATTTCTTGCAGACCAGGATGAAGGCTGCATAAATGATTGTATAGATCTAAGTAATTCCCACCTGAGCCTGTCTCATCACATCACACCCAAACAAGAGAAGATTTAGGAATACATCTGAAGGGGGTATTGGGAAGGATAACACTATTGTTTGGTTTGGATGTGAATGTCCTCTTAGCCTCATGTGTTCAAACACTTGTTCCCAGCAGATGACACAGTTCCAGGGCATTGTGTTAACTTTAAGAGGTTAAGATTAGCTGGCCAAACTATGTTACTAGGGGCAGACTTTTTGAGTTTTATAGCCTCATCTCACTTCCCAGTCTCTCTCTCTCTCTCTCTCTCTCTCTATATATATATATATATATATATATATATATATATATATATATGTGTGTGTGTGTGTGTGTGTGTCTACTAGTGAATGAAATGTTGTCAGTGTGCCATCTATGTGCCAGGATAGCCTCACATCCTTGCCTCCATGATGAACATTATCCTGTCTAGGACTATAAACTCTCTTAAGTTGATTTTGTTAGTGTATTTCATCACAAGAATGAAAGGAAAGTAATGTAGCTATTAACGGTTCAGAGAACAAGGAGCCATCATTTTATGTCATCAGCCAATTGTTACTGGCTAATTCTGAGCTAAAAATTTTTAACAGGGAAAAACTAAAATGTGCACAATTGCATACCATTAGCCTCTTATTCAAGTGGCTAAACTGAATTCAGTTCACCAGCCTGCTGTTGGATTAAGTTTATGTGAAGAGCTAATCATTGTGCGAATTTTTCATAAGCTTGAGAAGCCGCAGAATCCCAACTTATTAGGATGGGACAACACGTGTGTCTGCTTGGACAGTGGAGTGAATTTGAACTGACAGTCCTTAACCTTTCACAAAAAGCAGCAGTTGTTCTATAAATTAAAGTACTAAAATTAGAGGCCTGTGAGGTAGCTGTGAAAGATTCTAATATTGGAAGAAATTAATGGAAAAGACATAGAATGTTGAAAAACAAGAAATCAAAGTGGGCTGTCGTGTAATTCACTATTTTAAAAGACTGTCCAAAGAATTGGGGAATTTTGCATTCTGCCTTTTATCATCATCATCATCATCATCATCATTATTATTATTATTATTTTGCTCCATCACTATAATGTCACTAATAGTGTTGCCTCTTTATTATTTTGTATATCAAAAGACTTTCCCCCATGAGCTGTGACTTTTTAAGCATGCCATGTGCCATATGCTCACATCCTTCTTCTTAAGCATGTGTACACACTGTGACTTTTCTCCAGGCTTTCACTTAAAAGCATTTGTCATCTGGAATCTATGATAGCCCCCAAAAATGACCAAATTGCTCATTTGTACTTATTTATAATGAGAGTTGAGAGCACATAGGCTCATGAGACAAAGGCTGGAAAAAACATGGAATGAATAGGAGTTATTAAGAAAAGGCCTTAACACTAACAATTACATATTGATATAGAGGCTAAATTGTGTTAACTCTTTACTGTGTTATCATTTTTTTTATTTTTAAAGTCATTCTTCTTTCATATATTGCATCCCAACAGCAGTTTCCCCTTCCTAACTCCTCTCTGTTGCTTCCCCCACCTCCCCTCTCTCCAGATCTACTTCTCCTTTATTTCTCTTCAGAAAAGAGCAAGTCCACCTGGGATTTCAATTGAACATGGCTTAAGAAGTTACAATAACACTAGACACAAATCTTTTCATCAAGGCTGAGCAAGAAACTCAGGCAGAGGAAAAGGATCCCAAGAGCAGGCAAAAGAGTCAGAGACCCCCCCCTCCCAATGTTAGGATTCCTACAAGAACACCAGCTAAACAACCATAATATATATTTAGAGTAGCTAGCACAGACCTGTGTCTGATCTCTGATTGCTGATTCAGCTTCTGTGAGTCACTATAAGCCCTGCTTAGTTGATTCCATGGGCTATGTTCTTGTGGTATCTTTAAAGCCCCGGCTCCTACAATCCTTTCTCTGCCTCTTCCTTGGGATTCCCCCAAGAGCAAACTAATGTTTGGCTGTGGGTCTCTGAATATGTTCCTTTCAGTTAACATTTTATTTTTTTGACCAGACATGAACCCCTTCTAGTAGCTTGGGCTAGTCCCATCCCTATACACCCCTGCAATTCACTTGCAAAATCTATTCTTCTTCCTCCTTCCCAGGTAAACTTATGCATCTCACCTTGGGACTGCCTTGTTATTTAGCCTCTCTGAGTATGTGGATTGTAGCATGATTATTATACTTTACTCATTTATAAGTGAGTACATACCTTGTTTGTCTTTCTGGGTCTGGGTTACCTCACTCAGGATGAGTTTTTCTCCATTTGCCTACCAACTTCATGACACTCCACTATGTAAATGTACCACATTTTCTTTATCCATTCTTCTGTCCAAGGACATCTAAGTTGTTTCCTTGTTTCTAGCTGTTATAACTAAAGCTCCTATGAGCTTTAGTTGAGAATATGTCCTTGTGATAGGATGGAGCATCCTTTGACTATACGCATAAGAGTGGTATAGCTGGATCTAGAGGTGGCTATAGCCAAAGCTTCCTGAGAAACTGCCATATTGATTTCCATATTGGCTGTAAAGTTTGTACTCCCACCAGCAATGACAGATTGCTCCCCTTGCTCCACATTCTCATCAGCATGAATTTTCGCTTGTGTTTTTATCTTAGCTTCAAATTATCCACATAATAGAAACACACAAACCAAAAAAAAAAAAAATTGCCAAATTCATTTTATAGTAACTCTGATATCCAGACCAAAGAAAGAAAGAGAATTGCAGACCAATTATCTCACAAAAATAAATGCAAATATACTCAATAGTTACTCACAAACTAAATCTAAGAACACATCAAAAAGATAGTCCACCATGATAAAGTAGGCTTCATGCCAGTAGGGCAGGGACAGTTCTACATAAGAAAATCAGCCAATATAATCCACTGTATGAACAAACTGAAAGTAAAAATAAACACATGATCACTTGGTTAGATGCTGAAAAGCCTTTGACAAAATCCAGCACCCCTTCAAGATAAAGGTCTTAGAAAGAGTAGGTATACAAGGAACATACCTCAAACTAATAAAGGTAGTTTATATGAAACCTGCAGGCAACATCAAATTAAGTAGAGAGAAACACAAAGCAGCCCCACTAAAATTAGGAACAATACAAGATTTCCACTCTCTCAGTATCTATTCAGTAAAGTACTTGAAGTTTTGGCTAAAGCAATAAGAAAATTGAAGGAGATCTAATGGATACAAATTAGAAAGGAAGAAGTCAAAGTATCTATCACTATTTACAAATGTGATGATAATATACATGAGGGATTCCAAATTTTCTACCAGAAGACTCCTACAGCCTATAAAAACTTCCAGTCCAGTAGTTACATACAAAATTAACCAAAAAAAATTTAGTAGCCCTTCTATACACAGATGCCTATGGTTATGAGCTTTCTCATTTATTAATCCTCCAACAGCCTGAGTAATATAATACCATTTCATCTATAAGGAAGGTCACTAAATTTAAATTGTATTTCAAAGTTATACAGCTGGAAGGATGTTAAGTGGGTTGTGATGGTAATTAATAGCAAGTGTTTACATAATTCCTTAGAGTCTATGCTTGTTGAGTTCAGTTTCAGTGTTTTGATTTTTCTCTGCCTCTGTCTCTGCCTCTCTCTGTCTCTGTCTGTGTGTGTGTGTGTCTTTTTTTGAGATTGTAAATTAATTGCAACATTTTTCTCTTCCCTTTCTTCCCTCCAAAGACTTCAATATAACCCTCCCCACTCTCCTTCAAATTCATGTCTTCCTTTCTCATTAATTGAATATATTCATGTATGCAATAACAATTAGTGTATGTACGTGTGTGTGTCCCTAAATGTAACCTATAAGTACATATAACATTAATTGTATGTATTGTCAGAGCTGACCATTTAGATTTTGTTCACTTTCATGAAATCTTTTCTAAGCAGCTTCTGAAAAGAAGGTTGAAAAGTGAAAGAATTTCTGCACTGTCTTAGCAAATCTGAAGAAACTCTTATTTTTAGATTCTTTTTTGTTAGGTTGAAAATTTCTTTGTTCTTGGTTTTGGTAAGCTTAATCAAGCACTCACATCCCACCATCATTGGCCATTGCTTAAGTTGGCAGTATTTTAGAAGTTGTACATCTTGTAATGTTGTTACTTGCCTATTTTTATTTCTTCCAGACTTGGATGATCCCGTAGTAACTGTTCATCAAAGCATAGGTGAAGCTAAAGAACAATTTTACTATGAGAGAACAGTGTTTCTCAGATGCGTGGCCAATTCCAACCCTCCTGTGCGCTACAGTTGGAGACGTGGCCAAGAAGTATTGTTACAAGGATCTGACAAAGGAGTGGAGATATATGAGCCCTTCTTTACCCAGGTAAGAGATTAATAACAGTATTCCTACCCTAGCTGACGGCTAATTTGTGTACTCAGGCAACACCCAAAATTATACATTTTTGAAAAGACATATTCTCCAAATCTACTCTTTTGTAAAACAATACATGTTTCATTGAAAGACCAGTACACATAGATAATAAAACACAACTAGTTTTATAAGTGATAGTAAAACATGAAATATTGTAGCCATATTTCTACATCCATATGTTTATCACAGTGTCCTTTTAAAAAGCATGACTATACATTTCACTGACATGTTTGATTAAAACCTAATTTAAAAATGTAAATGTAATTTTCTGACTTGCATTATTACTCCTTTTTTAATTACTGTTATTACATATAGATAGATATAAAATATGTGTGTTCATAAATAGAACGTGATGTGCCTGTTTAACGTTCCTTGTATGTATATGCTGTCATGTTGACCAGTATTATTGGATCACCAATTAGGAGCCTTACCATTGTAGTCATGAATTGCTTGCAGCTCTTGTCTGAGTTTAGGGCCAATTAAATTTCTTCCTTCTACATTAGGATGTCTATCACTTTTCTTTGCTTGGGTTTTGTTTAGACAGCCATGTTAAATCATGGGAATAGTCTGCCTTTCATTTCTAAGAGATACAGCTCATAACTGACCTCTTGATCCTCTGGCTTTCTCTGTCCCTCTTCTACAATATTCCCTGAACTTTAGTTGTATCAACTGGCCTAGGGACCCCATGTTCAGTAGTTATCTGTATTTGGACCCTTTGTTTTCTGTAATGGTCTATATCTGTTGCAAAGAGAAGCTTCTTTGAACTGTACATATCTGTGGGTATAAGTGGTTAGAATGAAGTTGGGGGTGTTACTGGTTTAATTAAAAAGCTGTAGGAAGTTCTTCTCTAAGATCTATGACTTCATTAGCTCAGAGTAGTTAGCTGTGTTTCAGGAATAGGGCATGGGATCCCTTCTGCTAAGCATTCCTAAAGGCTAATTACACAACTGTTGGTTACCCCAAGTTATGAATGCCTCTATTGTGCCTATAAGGACATCTTGCTGTAGAGGTCATTATTCTGGTTTACAGGCATCACAGTTGTATAGAACTACTCGTTGTTTTTCTCCCTTGGTATATTATATACCACTTTCATATACTATGAAAGTTAGTCCTGAAGGAAGAAGCTTCCCAATAGATCTAGTTGGATTCCCTGTAGCCCTGTGTCCAAAGTATATTGTGTCTTTAGAAATAGGGACTTATATTTAATTTCTGGGAAGAAACTGTGAGAAAGAGCAATAACTTACTTTATTTGGTAAATCTCCTGAATTACTCTGACCAAATACTGGAAAGGAGTTTTGTCGTGTCTAGTACTGAGAATTTTCTTAGACTATTCATCTTGAAGAGGGTTATACTTGTATATACATGAAATTTAGTCCAACCAAATAAGTTCTATACAATTTCTTGTAAAGAAATGTCCCACCATGAGCTAGACTTAAGCCATGTATTCAAATGAAAGTTTTTGGGTTTCTTTCTTGACTGAGTCATATTTGTTTTGTGTAATCACAGGCATCACAAATGCAAATGACTGCTGAAACTAATATGGCAAAAAGACTATGTGACTGTGCCTGGGAGAATGAACTAAGATCTGATAGGTCCTGCAGGGAACAGAATGTGCACACCTACTCTTTAGAAAACAGCATCTGCTGCTGCCAGGTGGCTCGATTTGAACCCTGGGCTACCATTTTGAAACTCTGCTTGAATCCAAAGCATATGTAGGATTGATCCTGTGCCACTTAAAAGTTTTATAGGATGTTACAAATCAGGAGTTACAGACTAACCTGTTTCTCCTAAATTATGCTAATGAAAATTAGAATGGATGGAACATTCAGGTCTAATTCTAACCTTCAAGCACATGTTCATAATACAGAAAAAAAGTCATAAGGAAAACATCTTTACTTACAAGTCTACTTATCAGCCACTAATGTCCTCATTTGTAGCTGGTAATTGCCAACAAGAATTGAAAGTACTATGATTTTACAGTCATCTTGTAGTGGAAAGCAATGCAATTGACCAAACTTACTTATTTTAATAACATTTTGTCATGTCTTAATTTACAAATCCATCCATTTATTTTTCTCTGCATTAGAAACTTTAAAAAATCATATACTCTAATTATATAGAACTTTGTGGTTAAGACCACTATTTTTCTACCTATCAATATTGCTTTAGTTTTAAAATTAATTATGTTATAATATTAAAATATTACCTAAGGCCATATTTACTTTATGTGATGACTTTCCTCTTCCCTATTTTGTTATACTTTTTTGTGATCATATATATATATATATATATATATATATATATGTATATGGATTGTTTATACTCACACACACACACACATACACACACATATACATATACATACATACATACGTATATATATATGCTTGGATTAGTTTCCATAAACATTTTTCTTACTGACTACTAAGAACACTTTATGATTAACAATCTTTTAATATTAACAATGTTTATATTAAAGTATGTCTTAATCCATGATCTGATCCTATAACAACAATCTGTGTACTTTATTTAAAAATATATTATTTCTCACAGTTTTAGATACTAGAAAGTTAGACATTAAGGTATTGGCACTCAGAAAGAGTATTCTAGCTACTTTGTAACAAAGAAACAAAAGGTCACTTCTATGATTGATGCACATACTCCTACAATTAAGGAATAACTTTATATATGAATACTTAGACATTGATGTAATTGCCCTGTAAAGGTCCCATCTCCCAACACTGTCACAGTGACAGTTAAATCCAGCATCCATTGGGGAGAACACAGACAAACCACTTTAGGGTTCATTAGTGCTATAGTTTAGGACTCCTGTAGTTTATAATGCAAAAAGGTAACCTTGATCTGCCATGTGCATGGTATGGGAAAATCTTTACCAATTGTAGAGATGCTCAGCAAGGTTCCTCTCTTCCTGACATTGGTGGTATATAAGGAATTGGTTAAGGTAAAGAGGATTATGGTATAAAGAAAAGTAAAAAAGAAGTTAATATAGAGGCTAACAAAATGGTATAGGAACATGTAAAATGTGCACAGTAGCATCAGAAATAATAATTAAGCAAAGTAATTCCCCAATAATATTCCATGCCTATAATATACTCCACAATAATTTCTCTATGTGGGGAAGTTTACTGTGAAGATGGGAGGGCATACTGGGACAATACTGTATAAGGATCAGATGAAAGTTCATATACTTTTAATGTTAAGAAATTAAACTTCTGTGAAAGATATTAGATTTTCAAAATTAATTCTATTCAATAATGCCTTATTTTTTAATAAAAATAATTTCAAAGTTGATTAGATGGCTATCTTGTATGCCTATGCATGTAGGCAAATAACAACATCAGTTTGAGCTGAATATTTATTTCCCAATCCTCTTGAGTAACAAATTCTTATTTGTAGTTGCTTGGACTTATTATTTCCAAAATGAAATCAGCATGTGTTTTTGAACTTATATGAAATCTCAGGCACATAATAAGTTTAAGAGGAATAATTATCCTTTTCAAATCTCTACTCACTTAATAATGCTGAAAGGGAATGTCAAGCGTATATTTATGTACATCTGTATGTTTATAATAAATTTTAGGTACAAATGAATGTAAACTGGAAAGTAAGTTTTGCCAGTAGATCAAGATAATGATATATATTGGAAATAATATTTTTAAAGGTCTTGTCTATTTTGAAAGTGGCTTAAAATATCATTGCAGGTTATAGGTATTTTTGGTTTTTACTATAGAATTTCAACACTGTAACAGCACAGACTAATATGCAATAATCTTCTCCTTATTAATTTCACAAAACAACTTTTCTCATATAACAGTTTTTAATGGATTTATTTTCTGGCAAGTATAAAATACATTTAAAATTAAATTATGAAGTTTCTATGTGATTGCCAATAAATATGAATTTAAAATTTAAAAGTTGCATATTTACTTGCCATTTTCCTAGAATGTTGCTAAAAGCAATCCCAACATTATCTTGTATATAATAATTACATCAACTAATCATAAGGCTGAACATATTTATATCAATCGCAACATCAGTTATATTAAGCTAGTTAAACTAAATATATAATTATACAATAATCAAATCAAAATTCCTTTTTAAAATGTGAAATTTTTACATGAAAAATTAACCCTATTATCACAGAATAAAAAATTTACATAAATGACTAAATAAAACTGTTATATGATAGTTGTTTTAAATTATAAAGTCTAAATTATAATTAGTAACATATGCAAAGCACATCATTTGAAACTGTGCATGTACAATACCTATGCACACATTCATATACCTGTTGGATTTCTATGAATTGCAAATGTTTATAAAATTTTTCTACTTGGATGGCAAGATGGATCATGAGTAAATACAGTTGCCACCAAGTATGATGGCCTGGTTTGATATCCAGGGCCTCTTTATAAGAGGAAGGATATTCTCTGACCACCACATGCATTCAGCGGGTACACACTCACATGTGTGTGAATACTCATTCACACATATACAACTCATGCACATAGAGGCACATCTATTTATATTATAAGTCAGGACATTATTCTCCATCACTTAATAAATGAAGTAATAAATGGGTAAGGTGAAATCACTTTCTTAGTTCAGCCTGATTTATGGTTTATTATCCCTTCTCCTCTACCCAAGTTTATAGGTTAACCTTGCATATTACCTTAAGGAGTTACTTTTCTGTAGTGCCTATAGTTTCACACCATAGGGAATCTTGATTTGCAACTATAGGGATTGATTATCTAAACTCTTGTAGAGCAGCCTGCCAATCACTGGGCAGTTAAACCATGGGAATATCAGATATGAAGGCACTGCCCTTTCTTTGTCTTTGTAATATGCCAATTGTGTTCCTCTGTTCTGCATAAAGTCTAACTAGGATATAGTTATTTCCACCATTGTAATAACCAGGTCATACTTCCTGA